AGTTCTGGGCGAATCTGGCCATCCAGACCGCCGATGGCTTCGCGAAGCACATGGCGACCCATTTGGTCGATCAGTTATCTCTCGAGAGAGCCCGCCTTGAGGTTCCCCGAAGATGCAGGGGGGCCGAGGGCGGTGCGCCCAAGGAAAAGCATTGCGCGGCACTGGAGGCCGCAGCTGCGGCTCTCCGCGAACGACTGAGACCCGACTGGTTCAAGCGGCCAGCCGCGCCGCCGCCGGGCAAGCAGGGCGCCGCGGTTGCGACGCAGATTGGGGCCGCGCCATAAAAAAGGATGCACTTCGGCCCCGGGCGTTGAGTTTTGACCGGGCGGCGCAGCTGCCAGCGAACGGCCGGAGTAGCAGGGGGGCAGAAACGGTTCCCCAGAGGCCGTTCCCGTTGCCTGTGGCCGAGTGGCAGCAGTTGCCCAGCGTTCAGGAGTTTGTGAAAACGCCCGCGCACGCCGCCGCTGCGGCCCTCGCCCTGCGGGCGCGCCGCGCGCCCGCAGTCGCGGAGGCGGCCGCCCAATTGTCGCGGGGCCCCGCGTCGGACAAACGCCGCGCAGTAGCGGCCGCCGACCGCGTCGCGGAAACAATCGAGTTCTGGCTTCGCGCCCCGAAAGCACCCAAGGCGCGCGAGAAGAGCACGCGCCCTGACAGAGCGCGGGCGCAGGTGCGTTTGAAGGGGCCCGCAGTCGCGGCGGGCCCCGTGAACTTCCACCCCCATCCAGATTTCAAGGCGCCGACAGACACTGCGCAAGCGGACGCGGCGGGGGCGGGCGGGGCACGGGGGCGGGGCGCCTCCGGGAGCGCGCGCCAGTTGTGGCCCGCGGCTAAGCTCGCGCCCGCGGAGCTGCAGGCGCGGAAAAAGATTGTTGGATTCGCAGTCGCATGGTTCAACATGGGGCCGCGGGAAGGAGAGCCAGCGTTTGTTGCGCCTGGCGCGCGGGCGGTCGCCGCCAGCATCAAAGCCCCCGCGTTGCAGGGCGTGGCGCGCTCGAAGAAGGGCGACGAACAGCCGCGGGGACGAAGGCCACAGCGAAAGCCAAGGCCAATGCGAGTTCAGAAACATGGCGCGCGGAGGAGGCGCAGCTGGCGAAGGAGGAGGCTTCGCCAGCTGCGAAGAGACTGAAGAGGGTATTCGACGTCCAGGGGGGGGCTGGTGCTTTAGCCCAGTGCGACTGCACTTGCGGGCGCGCGGTTGGTCCGCGGCGGCGGCCGCGGCGGCCCCGTCGCCCTCGGGGCTTTGGACAGCAGCGCGAATGCGCAGAAACGACTACGCCCCGCGCTGTCGCGCCGCCACCTTCACGGGCTAAGAAGAAGGCGAGAACAGGGGGGGGGGGGGGGCGACGAGAACGAGGGGGGCGATGAGGATGGGGAGGGGGGGGAGGAGGAGAGGAGGGGGAGGGGGAGGAGGACAAGCTAGGTGCGCTCGCGTCATATCTGACGTCCTACCCCTCCCTCCCATCCCTTACCATGGCGCTGATTTTCTCTATCCGCGGACGCGTGTCGTAGCGGACCTGTGGCTCCGCGCGCGCGTGCGTAGTGGGTGGTGGTGCACGTGCGTGCGTGCGTGCGTGTGTGCGTGGTTGTCGTGGTGGTGGTGGTGGTGGTGGTGGTGGTGGTGGTGGTGGTGGTGGTGGTGGTGCTGGTGGTGGTGGTGGTGGTGTTGGTACTGGTGCTGGTGCTGGTGGTGGTTGTGGTGGTGGTGGTGGTGGTGGTGGTGGTGGTGGTGGTGGCGGTGGTGGCGGTGCGGCGCGGTGGTGGCGGGCGGATGGACGCGCGAGAAAAAGGCCCGCGCTGGGGCGAGAACGCCATCCTGAACGACAGAGGCCAAACACCGATCCGAAAATGAGGCCCACGCTGCAGCGGGAACACGATTCGGAACGATTCGGGAGCAGAAATGAGGCCGGCGCCTCAACGAGAGCAGCATTTTGGGAAACAATGACGCCGGCGCCCCAACGAGAGTCATTTCCCGGGATTTCCCGGGAATCCTGTGTGTAAAAAACAGTACGCGGAGGGTGCGCGGCCATCACCCGGACGCCATCAGGGGAAGAGAGAGAGTATTTTCATATTGAGTAATTGTGGATGGGGAGGAGGGCGAAGGGGGGGGGGCGCGGAGGAGAAGGGGGGCGCCCGCGGGGGCGGCGGAGGAGGAGGAAGAGGAGAAGTTGCAGTTGTCGCCATGGGAGCGCCGGCTTCAGATTTGGAAAATCACCGGGGATTTCTCTGAACCTGATGATCGCTTAGAGACAGCCCCCGGGGCCTTGCTTTCGATTGGAAAAATCAGCTTCAAACCAGTCCCCAGGGACCCTGCGTTAATTCTGATTTCGTCTAGTTTCGGGTTTCAAACAGTTCCTGGGGACGTGTGTGTATACATAATTATATATATATATATATATATATATATATATATATGGATATACAAGACTGCAGTGGCGCTTCGCGCTATGCACCTCGGCCGTTGAAGTTTGGCACGCAGGCGGACTAGCGGGGAGGTCAAGCCGACAATTTAGCGATGACTCCTTTTTCTGGCATCTCCGCTATAATAATGTTATCCATCATCCTTCCTCCATGTTTCTTATTTAATCGCTTCGCTCATGCCGCCGGCCCTGGAGCCCTCTTTAGGGCCTCTTGGGGGCCTCTTGGGGACCTCTTGGGAGTCTCTTGGGGCTCCTTGGCGGCGTTTTGGAGGCCCCCAGGGCCTCTTGGGGGGCTCTTGGGGGTAGTCGATTGCGGCTCCCCCCTCGGAGGCCACGATCCTCGTGAGGGGTGTCGAAAAATACCCTCCCCTGGAGTGGTCTGGTGGCTTCTCCCGGGCTTCTCTCGGGACCTTGCCGGGGTACTTTTCGTCCGGGGGCCCCCAGGGGCCGCTCCGCGCGCGCGAACTAGAAATATTGTTAACAAGTTACCGGAGATCTTAGCACGCCTCTGGCCCGTTGGGCCGGCGAATTCTTAAGTTGCGAGATGTCCCGCGCATTCCCCCCGTCCTCCCCAGCTTTTTTTGCGGGGGCCCCTCCATGGAGAGCCTCTGGGGGCCTCGTGGGCGTGTTCTGGAGGCTTTCTGAAGGCCTTCTGGAGGCTTCCTGGGCGCGGTCTGGGGGTTTCTGGGTTTGTCCGGCCACCCTGCCTCCAACCGCGGTCTCCCTGAACGACCGGGTCACGATTTGGAATGCTTCGGAGGGTGTCTCAGGGCCATCTTGGGCCGCCATGGGGCTCCCTGAGGGCCATATTGGATCCCTGTTGTGCTGTTTTGGGCCTCTCTTGGGCGGCCTGGAAGCCCTTCCGGATGGTTGCGGGGCGATTTGGGGGTTCCCCAGGCGGCCTCGGACCCCCAGGAGACCGCCGTCCTGGAGAGTCGGGAAGCCGAAAAGAGGAGGACCCAAAAATAAGCTATAAAAAAATGATTTTCGCCTCGGGGCCCCCTTGGGAGTGCTCTTGGAGGCCTCTTGGGACGTCTCGGGGAGATCTTCGGGGGCGTGGCGGCTTATCGGGGGTCGTCGTCGACCGCGTCGGGGCTCTCTGGGGTCGTTTCGGGGGCGCGCCCCCTAGGCCCCAGATCCCGGGGGCCCGTTTTTTGAGTTGGGGGGGGGCAGGCCCCCCCCGCCCAGGCTTGTAAAACATGAAAAGAGGAATATGTATATATATATATATATATTATGTTTACAAGCTTGACAAAGCCCCAGGGGACCCTCGCAGAGAAACAGCCGCGGGAGAGGCGCGGAGCTCGCCGGCCGCCGAACGGCCTGTGGGCGTCGGGGAAGGAAGCGCGACCAACTGGGGGCCCCGCCGCGCTGGCGCCGCGGCTCCGATGGCAGCTGCCGGGCCCCCCCCCGCGCGCGCGTCTGCCGCAGTTGCAGCCGAGGTCCGCGCTCTACGCGTAAGGCGGCCAGCGCGGGAAGACGATTCCCATCCCAGACGCGGGCGCGAGGGGAATCTCAGGGCTCGAAGACGCTAATTCTGCCCACGTGACAACGCAGCAGAAATGGCACCTGCAAGCGCGCTCGCTGCACCAGAGACCCCCCGCGGGGCAGCTGAAGAGGCCCGCCGCGCGGGCGGGCCTCGAACGCGCGCGGGCGAGGGCAGACGGCGCCGCGGTCGCGGACGACGATGATGACGGCGAACCCGAGGGCAAACACGACGACCCCAGGGCACTTCCTCTGTTCCATCGCGCGCCAAGGGGACACGACTCCTCGAAAGAGAAATGCGCGTGTCCAGGGCCACCCGCCCCTAAGAAAAATATGCCCCTAGTTCGTGGGCAAGGGGGGGGGGGCCGTGGCAGACGCGGCCGCCGCGCTTTTCGTCTCAGTCCCTGCGGGGAGCTGCTTGAAGCACCCAGCCGGCGCATCGACGCGATCCGCGCGCGTGGCCAGTTCCAGGCGCGGGGAGCGTTCTTGGGGCCTATTGGAGCATCTTGGGAGCCGACTTGAGACATCCTGGGTTATCTTGAGCCATCTTGGAGGTGATCTTGGGCTCTCTAAGGCCTTCTTGGAGCCATATTGGGCGGAACAACACCCTCTGACACCTCGCGGGGCGCCCCGTCCAGGTCAAGAGGAGGGGATAGGGAGGGAGGGGTAAACCCCTCCCCGAAGGGGAAGAAGGGGGTTGGAAGAGGAAGCTCCCTGGACCACCTACGCCAGAGAGCTGGTGGGATTAGATGGTACGGCAAGAGATGGAGCAAACTAATCTCCAAGTCACACTCCACCTAGCGCAGGTGCACGTCAAGCCCCCAAGGCATCAGCGTGACATGAATCCGAGGTGTCGATGCCGCACCCTGGCCTGCGCTACAACCCTAGCGCTTGCGTGGCCCAGTCGCACGCATCTGGTTGGTCTGGGCTTTTCCTGCGTACGCATGCGTATGTCCGTCTGTCTGTTATTATGTTGTCTGCGTTGTGCCTCTAAGCGCATTGGTCTTGTTTGTGTATGCCTGTGTCGTGTCAGCATACGTGCGCTCAATTTCCTCTGCATGTCGTGCACCGTCATCCAGGGACTCACCACATCTCCAGGCGAGCTTCTACCGCTCCCTCGGCTACCCGGCTGTACACATCGTCGTGAGGCAGGCAGGGGGTGTTATTGGCAGCCTCGTCTTCTTTCTCTCGATCCTAGCGCCCTTCGGCTTCTGACTTCCCCTGCGAACAGCCGCCCTTCCCTGCCCTCCCTACCTCACCGAACTCCCCCTCCCTCCTCTGCCTTCTTTTTCTCCCTTCCCTGCAATTCTCCGTTACCCACTCCCACCACCATTCGCTCCCTTCTCCATGATATCCGCCCATCCTTCCACTTCATCCCCTCCCTCGCTACCTCGCTACCTCGCTCCCCTCCCCATTCGTCTCTCCCTCTCTCCATCTCCGCAGATGGTTCCGACAGGCTGTTTGACAGTGCTCGTCCTAGTTGCCCTTCCTCCCCCTCCTCTCTCGCCTCTCTTTTGGCCACGGCGGCGATCTCAACAGCCATTCAGACGATGGCGAGTTTTGTGACGTATTGGGCTTTGGTGGGCGCATGGGCGGCGACGGCGTTCCTCCGAAAACTTCGAAGACGTGCTGCGGCCGCACGACTACCGGGTCCCCACTGAGGCACTGGCCGCGCCCCCGGCCACGGCGCCAGCCTCGCCAGCGCGGAGGGACGCATCCTTTGCTGGCGATTGTTGCGTTTTGGCATTTCCTGGCAATGCGTGGCGTTGCTTGGCGCTGCTTTGCATGTGTCTTGGCTTTGCACGGCGTTGCTTGGCATTGCTTGGCGTTGCTCGGGATCTCAACCCCGTGCAACCCCGAGCCCCTCTTGGGGCGCCGGACACGGCCACCCCTGCGACGTCTGCGACGCCGTCCTCTGCCTAGCCGCTTCCTGCCCACATCGGCGGTCGGGCAGGCGATGCGGCGCGCCGTCCGGCTCCAGCCTTCGGGCGAGGTGAGGAAGGGGCGTGCGCCTTCATCGCGTGGACAGACCTGTCCGAAGCTTGCGCGCTCGCTCCATCTCTTTAACGTCTGTTCCTGCCAACGGGGCTTCTGTTCCTGCCAACGGGGCTTTGGAAATCGGGCCCCTGCGGCGATGGATCCTGATGATGGTGGTGATGATAATGACGATGGTGATGGCATTGATGATGATGAGGAGGTGGAGGAGGATGATTGTGACGATGGTGTGGATGGTGATGGTAGTGTTGGTGTTGGTGATGAAGATGATGATGATGGTGATGATGATGATTGTGATGATCATGATGAGCTCGTCAGCATCAGTACCACCACCTTCCTCATCGTCATCATCGTCGTCATCGGGGGAAGAGGGGAGGGTGATCAGGAAGAGCATGGAAGGGGAGGAGGTCCACTGGTGGGAGAGCATGGTGAGATGCTGTTTCGAGGTCCACTGGCTTTGGGCGCCAGCGCCCGTCAGCGGGGCCACCCCGAATTGGGGGGTTCGCCATCCCCTCCTGGTCGACGACGACGACGACGACGACGACGACGACGCGACGACGGCGACGACGACGACTGCCGGTCCCAAATCGGTTCAAAATCGGTCCCCAGACCCTTGCCAGGGTGCATTCGGATCAGTTTCCCGTCGGGGATCGACTTTTGGGGGCCCCTGAGTCCGAAGCCGGCTTCCAGAAACCGAAGTCGAGGAACAATCTCCTGAATCGATGATCGCTGGCACTGGTGTCCGTTTGCAATCTTTTGCAGGCCGGGCCACGTCGTGCCCGTAGCCTCGGCGGGGCGTGCGTCGAGAGCTCCGAATCCCCCATAGGTGCATACGGGAGCTGGTAATCCCCAGTCGTCGTCGTCGTCGTCGTCGTCGTCGTCGTCGTCGTCGTAGTCGTCGTCGTCGTCGTCGTAGTCGTCGTCGTCGTCGTCGTCGTCGTCGGCGTCGGCGTCGGCGTCGGCGTCGGCGTCGGCGTCGGCGTCGGCGTCGGCGTCGGCGTCGGCGTCGGCGTCGTCGGCGGCGTCGGCGTCGGCGTCGGCGTCGGCGTCGGCGTCGGCGTCGGCGTCGGCGTCGGCGTCGGCGTCGCGTCGGCGTCGGCGGGTCGGCGTCGGCGTCGGCGTCGGCGTCGGTCGTCGGCGTCGGCGTCGGCGTCGGCGTCGGCGTCGGCGTCGGCGTCGGCGTCGGCGTCGGCGTCGGCGTCGGCGTCGGCGTCGGCGTCGGCGTCGGCGTCGGCGTCGGCGTCGGCGTCGGCGTCGGCGTCGGCGTCGTCCTCGTCGTCGTCGACGGCGTCGTCGTCGTAGCCGTCGCCGCTGCCATCCACGTCGCCGTCGCCGTCGCCGTGCCCGCTGCCGCCGTCGCCGCCGTCGTCGTCGTCGCAGTCGGTGCCGCAGTCGCCGCCGCCGCCGTCGTCGTCGCCGTCGCCGCCACCATCGTCGCCCTCGCTGCCGTCGTCGCCGCCCGCCGCCGCTGCCGCCGCCGCCGTCGTCGCCGCCGCCGTCGCCGCCGTCGCCTTCGTCGTCGCCGCCGTCGCCTTCGTCGTCGCCGCCGCCGTCGTCGCCGCCGCCCCCGTACCCCGCCCGCCGCCGCCTTTCCCGCCGCCGCCAGGGCCTGCGGGCCCCAGCCTCAAAATGGGTCCCCGGACCCTTTCGGGGTCCAAGTGCAAAAGTTTTTCGAGCCGCGTCCGACCGCGGCGACGAGGGGGGGCCCAGGGCCAGGAAGCCTCGAACCTCGATCCGCGAGAGTCGAACTTCGAACCTCGGCGTGCATCCCGTTTTCAAAATCAACGAAATCCGCGCAAAATCGGTCCCCAGAACCTCCCTGGGGCGCCTCCGACGCAGTGTTTTGGTCCCGGATCGATTTTGCGACCGTCCCAGGGCCGAAAGCTTCCTCGAACCTCGATGCCCGCTGTCTTCCCCGCCCGTTGGCTCGCGGTGCCCCGGCACCGCATTGCCCCCACGGCAACCCTCCGTGCGGGCCGAGCGCCCGAGCGTCGTGTCGCCCTCCATCGTCGTCGTCGTCGTCGTCGTCGTCGTCGTCGTCGTCGCCGCCGTCGTCGTCGTCGTCGTCGTCGTCGTCGTCGTCGTCGAGCGGGCCAGCGGGGCGACGAGGCCTCGTCGCACCGCGAACAAGAGGTTCGGCCGTTTTCGGCCTCCGGGGGCCCTCAGAGGGCCCCAGGGCCGTGACCCAAAAACGACTTGGAAGGAAGAGCACTTCGCCGCGCCGCCGAACGAAAATCATGACGGGAGGTTTTCAGCCGCTTTCGGATTCCGAAGGCTCCTTACAGGGCCTTGGGACCGTCAGTAGAACCGGCTGTGACGGAAACCCCCTCCCCCGCGGGCTCCTGGGAGGGGGTGGCCGGGGGTGGCGGCAACGCGACCCCTGAGGATCCGAGACGGCCCGCGAGAACCCCAAAGTGGCTCGGGCTCGGGAATGGATGCTCAGGACGGACGAGGAGGGAAGCGGGGCGGAGGATAAGGAGGACAAGAGGGGAGGAAGGAGCAGAAGGTGGAGGAAGAGAAGGAGCGGGAGATTGAAGAAAGCGGGGAGGACAGGGAGGATGAGGAGGAGCAGGGATCTTCTTCGAGGAGGCGGCGTCGAGCAGGAGGAGGAGGAGGAGGAGGAGGAGGGAGGGAGGAGGACGGGAATATATAGAACGGTTAAGAGGAGGAGGAGGAGGACGAGGAGGAGGAGGAGGACAAAGACGACGACTACGTGGGGGGACCCAAAGCTGACGGTTGATGATGATGATGATGATGGTGACGATGCGGACGATGATGACGATGACGACGGCGACGACGACGATGATGATGACGGTGATGATGATGTCCACGTGCCCAGCTAAATTTAAAGCGGGTGCAAAGTGCGCGCACTTCTGACATATCTTCAAAAACTGATGTAGAATAGGCTCCGGCTTACATGTGTACATATACACACATATGTACAAACGTATTTTTATGCATGTACACACATACATATACGTACGTAAAAACGTGGGCAGACCCGTCCGTTCAAGTACACACATACACATACATGCACTGCCATGGACAAAGTCTGCCAACCCGCGCGCGCACGCACACATATGTGTAACCATACCACAACACTCATACAGTAGGTTCGCGTCGTGTCGACCGGCGGCGACCCCGCCGCCGGCGTTCAACGTTGAGCGCCGCCGGCAGCCCAGAATCGCTCGACGTTGAACGATCTGTCGTTGGGGGAACCGCCGATCGTTCAAGGTTGAACGATCCACGCGGTGTCGGCAACCAACGCCGGGGTCGACACGACGCGGACATGACGTATACATCTAAGTGTGTGCGCACACACATTCGCACATTCATTCACACATACATTCGAAAACGCATATTCATTCACATGCATCCACATGCGCTTACACGCATACAACTATGCATACTTGTATGTATATGCGAGTGTAGGCATTCACACAAACACACGCTTGCACACATAAACCAAACAGAGTCTTTTTTACATCCGTATCCATAAGTGCCGCACGGCCGAGAAGGCTCAGCATGTTTTACATAGGCGAGTGGGCGAACCCACTCCCATATGTGAAACATATCAGAAATCCAGCCGCGGAGGCTTTCTGTACTGCTCACATAGGCGAGTGGGCCGGCCTACTCCCCTATGTGAACCATACCAGGAATCCTCCTGCGGAGGCTGTCTGTACTGGTCACATAAGCGAGCGGGCCAGCCCACTCCCCCATGTGAGCCATGCCGGAAATCCGGCCGCGGAGGTTTTCCGGTTCTGGTTACATTGGCGAGTGGGCTGGCCCCCCCCCTATGTGAACCATACCAGAAATCCGGCCGCGCAGGCTTTCTGTTTTTGTCACATAGGCTGGTGGGCCGGCCCACTCCCTTATGTGATCCGTACCAGAGCTCCGTGCACGAAAGGTGTGCGCGTGCGAGGATGAACGATCGCGCGCGAGCTGCAGCTCGGCGGTCGCACCTCCTCCTCCTCCTCCTTCCCCGTTTCTCCCCCTCCTCCACCTCATCATCTTTCCGCCCTCTCCTCCTTCTCATCAGCACCCCCACTCACCCCCTCGTCATTTTAGGAAACGCCAACCAAGAAACTACAAATAACGCATAATCTAAATAAGAAAACGTGCAATCAGAACGAAATCTGGTCATCAAATTACAACGTTGCTCAAAAGAACAAACCATTCTCAAAACAACATACCGTACACCGCTGTGCAAGCAAACCACA